CCCCAAAGTGAAGTGAAGTGAAGTGAAGTGAAGTGAAGTGAAGTGAAGTGAAGTGAAGTGAAGTGAAGTGAAGTGAAGTGAAGTGAAGTGAAGTGAAGTGAAGTGAAGTGAAGTGAAGTGAAGTGAAGTGAAGAGACAGGCTGTGATTCCCTTTCCACTCCCGTCACGTGTCACACGAGACCGGCCGCACCAGTGGCTGTGCTCTGGACGCAGAGGGAGAGGGCCACGGTTCTTCCTTGCAGCTGAGAAGAGAGCTCGAGAGAGAGACCCTTATTCAGCCTGGTTGAAGAAGCGTGAGAGTATCAGAGCGAGAGAGCGAAAGCGGAGAGCGAGCAGCTGATTTCAACATAGGAGAACGGTCGACGGGGCATACATTAGAGTACTTTCTCTTGTGGCTTTAGCCAAAGGTCACGCCGATGTTGTCTCGGTGGTTTAGGGTTTATAGGGTTTAGGGTAACCCTAAACCCTAAACCGATGAACTACTCGGTCCCCATGTCGGGAGGAGGGCGAGAGAGGGACTTGCGGGGTGGACCAGTCTGGAGGAGGTTGCTTGCACTACAGGGTGGAGGCAGTTTGGGGTTTCCAGGTAGTGGTATGGCGTTGTAGTCATTGCAGTCCGATAACGAACCCATCTCGAACCGTCTTGTGAGATGGAGCCGGGCGCAGTCGCGCGCAGGGGAAGGAAGGAAGGAGAGAGTGAGAGAAGGGGGTGGGGTGCACAGCTCCGACCGAGAGTTTTCACACGCTGGGCCGGGCGGGGCCTGCCGGTTGCGCAGGGGACTTTGAAAGCCTAGTGGCAGAGACGGAGAGACAGACTGCGACTCCGGTCACAGCAAAGAGGAAGCAATCAGAAGGCCCACAAACTCAGTTTACCGCGACATGTTGTGGCGTTCGATGGAAAGGGAAACGTACCATGTTTGGCTGGTCTAGTTATGCACCCAGATCCTGAAACTAGAGTGTACAAGTTCTGTTCCACGCCCCAGGTTGCTTCATTTTGGCCGACGCTTCGCAGACGGCAGGGGGAGTGGAGCTTGTAAGTTGCTATCCCTTGCAGTGGGACCCCTCTGAGCGAGCGTAGGCCTCCTGTTTCGGAGGCCCTCGGCCCCTGGTGCCTTTGCCGTTGCCCTTGGCCGCTGTGCCACTTCCGACCCCAGCCGCAGCTTGCACTGCATTCAAGGGCTGAGCGCTCGACTCAGTTGCTTGTGTGCAGCATTCTGCCGGTGTGCTCAGGTTCCTGTGCGCCGCCGAGCTGCGCGTTGCGTTTCGGGCTGCAGCCTTCTAGAGGCCACGCTTGAATGATAAGAGGGCTTTCGTGCTACATGTGCTACAGCTGGTTCGAAGCTTTCTGCCTTCCTGCTTGTTCGAGCCCAGCTTTATGCGAAACGTGTCCCGGCCTGCTTGAACCTTACATGCACCCCGGTGCTTTTCACCGAGTGTGGGAGGAGAAACTCTGCGCTCCTGAACACCAAACCTAGTTTCAGGTGTCGCCTTTCGAGATAAGATCTTTCTGGAATTTTGTCTGCTTCGAGAGTGCTCTGCGTCGTTCCGACAAAGGACTCTTGCTCTGCGTCGCCTGGAGTGTTCAACTTTGCAGAAGCCAGCCCCTCCAAGAAAAACAAACCCTTAGAGAATCCTTGCCTGGCCGTACAGAGCGTGAGAGCCGAAATTCCCTCGGCACCGAAACCCCGCCTACCTGTACAAGACCGGGCTGACTGCACAGGTGCCTTCTTTGCCATTTTTGCTCCGTGTGGACCGCACACCTGACTGGGGCTTCAGCCTAACTCCAGTTCCAGCTGAAGGCCCGGCAGGGCTTGAAGCAATCAGACAATAACCTACATTTCGTTGGTTTTCGCGTGCAACTTGGCAGCGCAAGTCTTCTAAGTCGGCTGGACTACAAAGGCTACGCAGATAGTACGGGTGCATAGCGATTAACCAAAAGTAGCGGAACTAGGAGCAACGCGAGAACTGCGACAATTCCAAAACAATATTGTATATTTTGCTTATGTACAGAAATGCAGGAACTGCCGCGTACGAAGACTTATGAGCATCATATTCTCGAGATCCAAGTCTCCGTGCAGGGCGCGTCGAGTCCAACCAGCCGCAGAGGCATGGACCTGGCCTTAGACTCTGACCTCGATTCCATGCTGCATGTCTCTACACTCTACACTCCAGGAGGTAGTGTAGGGTGGCGCGTGATGTCCGGCGACGATAGTGAGCAGAAGGGCTTGAGTGTGGGTTACGATGGATCAGCTGCACCCTGCACGTTTTGCTCAAGGAAGGCTATGGAATTGCAACACCACGACAAGCTTCAGCTCTGCATCGTAGAATGCAGCTTCTGTTACGTATGTTCTCGGAGCCGGTGCCATGTCATGCGGCTTTGCACGCTGGCGCGATGACCCTCCGCTGAGGCTGGGCCACAGGATTGGATACAAAGAGGGATCACAACGGATGCTTCGGTCACGGAGTTTTGTGAAACAGACCTTCGCATGGCGGGGATCAGTATAGTCGTGCTTAAGTGCAGAGCGCCCTTCAGACATGAAGTGATTAGAATCGGCTGCGTCTACGGGTGTCATCTATAGGGTGTCTGTGCTTCCGGACGAACTTTTGGCGAGAAATCTCCAATACAGTAGACGTTAAACGCTAGACTCTGCTCGACTGTGCCGTAGTTACAGACAGAGACCTCGTCTGGCGGAGTCCGAATTGCGAGAGCGTAAATGCTACTGAAGCTAAGGTATATCTTTCTTTCCTCGCTGTGAGTGCCCTTCCGATGGACTCCCTGGTTCCTGTGGTGCAATCTTGCACGAATAAGTGTCTGCATGTTGTTTTGAGTTGTCTCGTTCAAGTGAGAGTTGACTTGCTCCAGGCTTGCGGCGTCGAACCTGCCCAGCTTTCAGCACAGAGCCCCAGGACGGTCCATGTCCATTCTGTCCATGTCTCGAAGCCAAAAAATCTTGCTCCTAAGGTGTCGGGACCGGGCAGCTTTGGCTCAAGACGTGTATTTTGATAGCGAGGACAGTCCCGGAGCCATGGACATCTCGTCCACGTTCCTGTCGTCCATGAAAAATCCCGCCGACCTCCGGACGCTTGGGATTTGCTCAGCGAAGTGGTTGATCACTTTAATTGTGTGGCATGCACATCCGAGCCCAGGCTGCAGCACGAACGTTTTGGATGAAATGAAGACTGGTCGCTGGTAGTCTTAGAGGTTTGCTCTTTCATCCGCCGCCGTGCTCAGTGCAAGGTATCTGGGCTTCGCTGGCAAATTCCTGCTAGGCATCGTCCAGTGTGTTTGGAGCTTCTATGCCGCTTGGCCTCTCTGTGAGACCGGGCGTCTTGAGCTTGAGTGGATCCGCGCAGCTGCATGTGGTGTTTGCCATGTTTGTGTCGGGCTTGGGCTCTGAAAGGTCATGACCATGGTGCACAACGCCATGCATTGTGACGTCTTCCGACATCCCGTAGTGGAGCTGCTTGCCTGGGATGTTTGAGCACAGATTGTAGTCCTTCGATTGGAAAAGCCGGAAGAATACATGTCCCTGCAAACCAGACCATGTGAAACGACGTCACGACCAAGGTCAGTTTGGAGGGTGATGCTTTCGGCGACAGCCGGTGTGCCGGTTGAGGCATACCGGCCGACACATAATCTCAATCATCACGCTACTTGGCCGAAAACCCGCTACCCTGTCTGTTGGAGAAGGTTTGGGTATTTTTGCTGGTAGCTAACTCAGGTGTATACCCAACACGGCGACCATCTTGACACGAAGCAGATGACGTTTGGCTACAATGGCCACAAAGCTGTGGCAGCTATCAAGACAAGTTGATGGTAATTAACCTACCTAAGTCTGTAGACTTGAATGCACTGGAATTTCGTGTAATTAACTCCAAAGAGATTCGACACGAAGCAGCCAACTACCGCTCTTCGGTAACCGGCCGAGGAAGTACAAGTGGCATCTGCTCAATTTGATTCTCTTCTTCCCAACCGTCCGCGACTTAAAGTCTTTAGGCTTCGGGCCATAGACATCCGCCAAAGCAGTCCCAAGCTCCCCTTGGCAGTCTCTCTTCAAGTGCTGTGACGAAAAGGTCTTCCCGGCCATTCAGAAGCTAGAGTCGGAGTACATTTCGCGAGAAATGCGGAAGTGCTCCAAGACGTTCTTCCTCTTCGTTCTTCAGGCAGGGTGCCCAGATTCTGCCCTGACCGTCTTGGCATCACATTGGCCCTTTTGTTGCCACCGAGACGGGTAGACCGACCTGTGTGTTGATGTGGCGATAGTGGTGCGCGCATGGCAATAAGCTTGGCTTTGCAATGCACCCGAGGTCCTTGCTGCACATGGCACCACAGGCACACTTCTGATCCTCGGCTCAGTTGTTGTCCATGCCCACGCTTGCTTCACACAAGCGATTCTTCAGACGGGCTTATGTCGTGTTTGTGGAAACGAGACAACAAGCAGTTGTTTGTCGGACAACGTGCTGGGGCTCAGACCCATGCGCTCTCGAAGTCTGGATTGCGTGGGAAGGTACCTCGATTGGCAGAGGGCTCTATGCTGTTGGATCATCCCCTACATATTCGGCGCAGATGCTATTGTGACCATGAGTCTTGGCCTGCATTTGCACAGCCCCATCACTACCGGTAGGCCGTCCACGCAGTGATGCTTGATTCGACAGGATACTGCACGAGCATGTTGAGCAGCGGTCATGTGCTAATAGGTCCGGTCCTTCGATCAGTTTTTGTTGTCATTGCAGAATAGGCAACTCACGCTGTGATCGAAATCTCGTCTGACCTGAGGAACGTTTTGCAGCACGATGGAACAGAAGACATTGTCCTGGGAGAGCACAAGGGGCCCAACATGAATGTCAACTCTGCTCGCAACTTCACCGGCCCCGTGATAAATTGGTTCACCTGCAACAACGGGTACCATGCGATCCACCACATGTACAGCAACATGCATTGGAGCCAGTACCCCGAGATGCATGCCAAAGTAATCGCGCCGCACAACGACCCGTCCCTGGACGAGCCCGACATCCTGCGTTTCCTTTGGCGAACCTACATTTGGCCTGGCACGCTCCCGGCGTTTAGGCAGGAAAAGACTGAGTAGATGGCTCTGTGGATGGAGCCCACCAGGTTTCCCCCAAACGGAGCATGCCATACAAGCTTCAGGAAGCTTAAGTGAAGGAGTAGAACTCTCTTCGGGAACGCCAATGTCGTGGGCAAGGGTCCTGGACACTGGCTGTGGACGGTGCAAGAAAGTCGCACTATTTTTCCCATGCTGGTGTGCTGTGCCAAGTTTGGAATCTTCTTGGCTGCGGCCGAACATATGCACTAGCCACAGAACAGGTGTGCTGACACTGACTCATGAGATTAAGACGCCTGCATGCACACCGGAATTTCGAATTCCATAAGTCATAATTTGTAATCCGCTGCAGAGTGCAGACAGCGTCGCAGTGGATGCGCACGGAACTGCACCTCGTCTTTTGTGTGCAGTGGATCACTTGCATAGGAAGATCCTGTCGCAGAGTGCATTCAGCACGGCTTGCGCCGTGAGCCTTGAGCAACGCAGAGATGGTGAGCAGATGTCAGCTGTTGTTGCAGCAATTGCCTGCAGCACCCAATCGCCCGACCTCGAAAGAGGTGATTTGGGATTCAACATATCCTACGACAATTGATTGTGCGGACTTTTGTAGACTGCAAGCATCGACTCAAAACAGAGCTGGCGGTTGGTACCTTCAACTTTTCAACCCATGTGCTGACCAAGACGTCCTTGGTGAATGCGGGCGAAAGTGAAATGCGGTGGGCTGGGCTCCGAAGCCATGAATCACTCCACGATTGATGCTGTTGCATGACTGGGTCCGATTGCAGGAGGTCATACCGTTCTGGCAGCTTCAGATGCCTGTTCATTGCTGTAGGAGAAAGGCTGCAAAGAAAAACCTTGGGCGACTTGGCGTGCTCCTGTCCATCCATGCAATCAGCTTCTCTAAAGTAGTTAAGTGGGGCTGTACTAAACTTTCAATCTCTGTTGGAGGGAAGCCGAGAAAGCTTAGGAACATCACCAAGTACCCCGATTAAGGCGACCTATGGCTGGAGCTGGTTGTGGCTTCGGCCTCGCCTTCAATATCATGTCTGAGTCGGCAGCAGGAAGTCTAGACTAGCGGAGTGTGTCTCTGTTGGAAGCATAGGCTTACCTCGCCTGCTTTGCCGAGGGAGAGTGCTAAAAAACGCCTAGAGTAGCAGCCGGCTGTGCATCTTTTTTTGTCCATGGAAGAGCTCAGCTCTCTCATTTGCATGTATCGAGCGCCAAGCTGCCTTTGCCGAGCTGAGCTGGCTGTCCGCCAGCTCAGACGGTTCCCAGAGCCTAAAATGAGGGGTCGCGCAATCGCTGATTCGACGATCTCTTACATTGTCAAGTCCATCACATTTGTGCCCTCAGCCATCGGGGTTGTGCTGCATGGGTGGACAGTGCCCTGCACATGTTCGGCACTGCACACGACATCGAATGAACAAGTTCAGGAATGAAACCATGGCAAAAAGAAGTCTATGAAGACTAGCAAGGCCGCAGCTGCAGACCTCCATCGATAGGAGGCCTTAGCTTGCATTAGAAAGCTCGATTCACTATGACAAGAACCCGATTCACCCCAAAGATCCTCAGGCGCACTTCTAGTGCCAGAGCCCGTATCCGCGCAATGGCCTCGAAAGTAAAAGTGCCAGAGCCGAAGTTGCCTCCAGGCGCGGAGCTCGAAAGGGCGGTAGTGAGAAGAGAACTCCGTTTTGAAAACTCGAAGCTCACACCCTATGTTGTGAAAGGCAAGTCTCTCCCGCCGAGTGGGCGTGGCAAAACTCCCAAGCCACCCCCAAAGCTTGGGCCCTGCGGCACTGGGACAAAGGAGCGACACGGGAAGAGCAGTGACTTTCGAATTGAGTGTTTGAAGAGACTTCCAGGAGTGAATCCGTAATGTAGCAAGCGAGTGGATTCTCTGAGTCACCCGAGTACCAAGTTTGGGATTAGAGGTCTTCAGAACTTGGAGCCGGTACGCTGCAACCAGTGCCTGTACCCTTGAGGACAATCGCTCAGTCGAATGTCCTGATCGCTTTGCAGCGCGGCGGATCCCAAGTGCCTTCCATGGA